TATATCGTCGGTGAGTACCTAAACGTGCCTGTGTTTTTTCTAAACCTGTCTTAGTACGCTTACCAAGAATCCCATACTAATGTTGTGTTCTGGGCAGTGATAGGATTACTTCATAAAGCTCCTAAACAGTTTGGTCAAACTTGTTGTTTTCAGTTGCAAGGTTCATCCTATTGAGTTCATGAGGACTTACTGGTTTGTGGTTTGGGTTTTTTTTTGTAAACTGGATCCGTGTTGTAATCATTACCTGACAGGAGATCATTTTGGTGGTTACATTTCACCATTGAATCTTGGAAGTAAGAGTGAATGCGATAGAGATGGTTTTACAGAAACGCTTTTGGCAACAGCCTCTTGACTTGTGGCATTTGTGAGGGCTGTAGCAGAATATTTAACTTGTCACAAGACTTTCATTCTTTCAATAAAAAAGCAGAAGATATCATTTGCTAATTATGAAGAACGAAAGATGTGTAGTTGCCATTCTACAAAAGTCAAGGTTCACAGCCTTCAAAACATCTGAATGCTTCGACTTTTTTTCACTTTTGCAGCGGACTTTTTCCAGCTGCTGTTCGTCTGCCTGCAGCTGCACGTGTTCCGGATTGAGAAGAACCGTGGGCCTGCATACGGAGGCGGCGACAACTACGAGGCTTTCGTCGATATTGAGAACATCGCCGAAAACCCAGTCCCCAATTTCACATTCAGCAGGTATGAAACCTAGGCTGGAGTTTACAGTGACGATTTTAATTTTCAACGTGTTGAGAAGGACTTAGTAGAGTTGTTATTTACATTTGTATTTGTGTTTTCCCATTTCAGGTCCTATCTGGATACGGCAAAAGTAAGTTCAGTTAATTGCAATTCACAAGTAATTTGTTAATATTTGTTTTTATTTGAGTATTTGATTATATTTGGTTTGGTAGCTGTGAATGTCATCAGGGTGTTGTAAAAATTCATTGGATTTCATTGGAATGGAAAAATTCTACTGAACCAAGTTACTTGAACTGTTTTACAATCAGCATTTTTACGATCAGGATTGTAACTTCCAGGCTGTACTGATTTCCTCTCTTTTGTTAGATATTCCAGTCAGACATCTATAAAATGGATTCTGTTTAGATGCTGGAGTTTTAAAGCAACAGCGTTACTGATGTTGTAGAGAACTGAAGTAAATACGACACACGCACTGTTACATGTGTAAAAGGCATTGGCATGAAAATCAACGTTTGAACCAGCATGTGCATGCACTCCATTCGTTTGCACTGCACTTCCTGGTTCAAATGATGTCACACTTCAGTGTTCTATAGAGGAATTTGGTTTAATTTTCCCAATTTGATTTTTTTCATTCCCTGTTTTCCAGACCCTGGTCTTTGAGTACCTGTTCTGGGTGACCCTAGCGGTTACTTTCCTCGCCGGAACCACCCGCGTCAGCCTCTTCGGACTCATCTACATCGTCTTCTCATTCTACTTCCTCTGGCTGGGATCCGAGTATCTTATCAAGCCCACAAGAGTCGTCATCAAGCGGTAAAGAACTCTAGAGAAATTTCCTTGTTTGTGAAGTGAATCATTTAGTTGTGGTTCGAGAAGGGAGTGAGCAGATAAAAACTGTTTGTGGTTTGTATGCATGGTTTGAAGATGGAATTGAGCTCGGTTCTGCAGACTGCTCTGTCACTGGTTTTCATGTAGAATACGTTTTCATTCTGCAGTGTGTATTGTCTTAGTCTTTGGTTAGCTGTTGGAGTGTTTAGGGTCAGTACTAACCCCATTTTGCTCAGATTTGAAGCAGTTTTTCAGGTCAGTATCTGTCCTGTCTGTGGGTCAGAGGTGGTTAGCAGATGGAAGATGGTTCTGGTTTTAATTTAGTGCTTTGGTTTTTGATTTTCGGTTGGGTTAATGTTTTATTCTTCAACTGCCTCTGTCTTTGTCTTGCAGATGACATCGGCTTCTGCCCTGTGACATATTTCATTTTTATTGAAGTAATTGAAGCTTCCTGCCATTCGATCTTTTTTATCTTGACATGTAAATCCTTTGTTGAATTGAATCTTTGGTTCCACGCCCTCTTTGTCGGCAGGTGGAATAAACTCCTGCTCTACAACCTGCTCGTGATCTTCCTGAAGGTGTGCCTACAGATCATGTCGTGCGTCTACGTCAAGCAGCTTCTGAACGCCAAGTGTTGCTGGCTGCTGCAGCTGCTGGGTGTGGTGTGCCTGCAGTCGGACTTCAACATAGGTAGGTATTCCTCTCCTAGGAAACTTCACAACCGGTCAGTTGTCAGTGACATGTAAGGGATCATTTGTGGGTTTTGATTGCATTCATTAAGGACAGCTGGAAGGGGGAACCGTCTCCGTATACGTTCACAAACTGTGAAAAATGACAATTAGCTGCCATCATTTTCTTGAGGAGGATGAGGATGGGGTAGGAGGAGTCCGAGGCTGGTCCCTTATGTTTAATTTTCATAGATCATTCAGACTTTGTTTTACTGGTTTTGGAGGGGTTTGTTGGGAGAGGGGGTAGTCTGAACTGCAAGATGTCAGTTGTGCCGTTTCAGGGTGTCCGAAACAAGATATTTTATCCTCTGAAGTTACACATAAAGGACAGTAATAGCTTATGACACCGTAGAGAAAAAATTATGCCGTTGTCCCACACATGAACAAGTGGTCATCTGAGGGACATTGGCATTTCTACGTTGTCTTCTCTGAAAGGTTTTGCAACTCCAGGTAGGATTTGCACATGGTTAAATTCCACTAGAGAGGAAAGAATGCTTAAGAAATGACGAAGTGATCTCTGTGAGTCTCTCTCCCTTTTTTTTTATCGTAGGTGACATTGAAGCGGCTCGAGAAGAGAATAAATGCACCTTGCCCGTGGACGATGCAGGCTTGTCGTGGGACGTGGCCGTCTTCATCTTCCTCCTGATCCAGAAGCGCATTTTCACCAGTAACTACTTCCAGTATGTCGTCATCTCGCTGGAGGAACAGAAGAGCCTGGCCTCCAAGTAAGTCATGATGGAACAGCGTCGTAGTCGAGTCCATCACACGTCTCCTCACAAGACCGGTCACAGGTCCTAGGTCACAAGACCAGCTAGAAGGCGAACAGTGACAAAAGAATGCATTTGTCCCTGTTCATTTGATTTAGATTGTGACTTGGCTTGGGACTGAATGACTTGTGATGGACTCAACTACATCACTGTCATGGAGCGGTGACGTAGAACCTCAAAGTAACAAACTGTGTGGGATCATTTAAACACTCACTGTGTGCCATGAATTGATTTCATTTTGATTGATAAAGCAACATTTGTTACACTTGGTGTATTGGTTCATTGGGAGTTAATTTTTTTAATGAGAACATAGCTTGGTTGTGTGTAATGCACAGGAGCAAAGACTTGCTCTTTGGAATTCTTGGAGATGTAATTCAAAGCTTGACACGTATCCGAGCATCGGTATTGAAATTTGCCTCTCCTGTTATTGGATGAAGGGGAGCCGAGCTGATCAATGAGCTACTGGCCACCAGGGTGCGCAACAAGCGGCTGGAGGAGAAGCGGATCCTGGAAGGTATCAAGAAGAAGTAAGTTGGCAGAGTCTGATCAAGACGTCGGCCTGGCCGGAAGGCAAGGGGGCAGGGCTTTGCTGATGAGAGGGGGGGAGGAGTCGGTTTCAACCAGGAATCGGAAACAAGGTGTCAGAATTGAAAAATTCAATTGAAAAGTTGGGTTTGGCGCTTATTTACCTTGTCTTTGTCAGTGATGAGGGAAACAGGATGCATGAGTTGTCAAAACTTGCAACAGAATTCCACAGGCATTGTGGAATAGTGTGTTGCCAATTCACACGGACAAAGCAAAGGTAACTGGAGCATGTGGGTTTTCCTGTGTGAGAAACAGTGGTCAGTTTTCACCAGAATGTGCACAAAACAGAAGCCTGTTTGAATGAAAGTCATGCAGTGTTATCAAAGATGCCTGACAGGAATGGGACTAAGGTTTACCCTGTCAACATTCGGGTTTGGCTGAGGGTGTGGTTATTTAGAGTGCCCGCGAAGCCCTTAAATTGAAGCCAGTAACTCATCTGTTGAAGACAGCTAGGCCTGATACCCTTGTGCATGATGCTGTAGTTTTAATATCAAGCTACAGTAATAATACAGCTGGTTTGTTTGGTCTGTTTCAGGATGTCTCGGATCCAGAAGCAACAGCTGGACCTGATGCACAAGGCCCAAAGGAGGGAACCCAAATATCACGACGAAGGTAATAAGGCAGCTTGTCATCGTGAAGTTAGCGTCATACTGCTTGTTATTTGACTTGAGTTTTAACTTGACTTTTGGTAAAATATGGTGAGATTAGTAAATAAGCAACAAAAATCTGTGAACCAGTCAAATCAGTCCTTTAATGAACAAACAGTGGGATTTTTGGAAATCGAAATGGCATCTTTTATGCAAATGTTACGTCATAGAAATAATTTAAATCACAAAGGTAAATTTCTATAAATGATGCCTTGCATGGCGGAACAGTTCAGTTCCTGTCATATGACACAAGCGAGCCTCGCCATTGGATGATTCATACAAACATGAGGCTGATTACTCAAATTTGAATATGTGTTTCTGTCTGCAGCCGTGCGTGGCCAAGGTGGGTACTACATGTTCAAGGATGTGAGCGACGAGGAACTGAGCGATCTAGAGCCTGACGCAATACCGGGTGGTGAGGGTGACGAGGGAAAACACTCGGCGTTCCATGTGAGTACTAAGAAATCAAGCCTGGTGCGTGTGTGTATGGGGGTCAAGCTGTGTGAGTGGGGGGGGGGTCTGGCTGGGCGTGTGTCTGGGGGGTGAGGGGGTTGAGTTACAAGGAACTGAGTGACCTAGAGCCTTACGCTGTTCCAGGTGGCAAAGGTGACAGGGGAAAACACTCCGAATTCCATGAGGCCTTTCTGTGTGAGGAGGGGAGGGGGGTCTGACTGGATGTATGGATGGGAGTCTGGCTGGGTGTGTGTTGGGGGGGTTGCGTGATGGACTAACACTATACCTGGAGCCTGGTGCTATATCATAAACTGCATTCTAATTTTGGCTGTAGCTTGTTCATGATGCGGTTGCTATGAGCCCAGAGGATGCCTTGAAGAAAGACGACAAGGCCAAGGGAGAGGAGGATATTGATAGTAAGACTTCCACTTCTGAGAGTATTTGTCATTTTACCCAATCATTTGCCTGTTTTCATTAATAATGTTTTACTGCATACTTAAATCACATAGGGTCAGTTTTATTCACGCGGATCTGGATCTCAATCAGGGATCCCATCGCTGGTCACTCCATCCATTAGGTGG